GGGAATTTTTTCTCTTGTAATAGAAATGTTTTAAAATTAGACTTTGGTTACATGATTGCATAATTCTATGGATATACTAAGGAACCTTGAACAAAACACTTTAAATTCTGAATTGTATGGTATATGACTTATATCCCTCAAAATATTAAAATTTCTTACGCAAAATGGTCGCCCTTTCTCCTATGTTTTATTATTGGGAGCTGTCAGTCTAAGAATACAAAATTTCAATGGGGTAGAAGGAGTTCAAAGGATCAAAAGTAAAACACAGTGATAATACTGTGTCTTTAAACTGTCAGAATCATAGGTGTAAGTGTCCACACCACTGGAGATGACAAACATTTCAGATTCAAATTAGCCAGGCTGCAGGGTACCCCTCCTTTGATGCAACCTCTGTAGATATCTTTTATTTGTCAAAGAATTCATTGGTTATTTTATATCACTTTGACCAAATACCTAACCGAAGCAACATAAGGGCAGAAAGAGGTTTATTTTGGCTCATAGTTTGAGCCATTGTGCATGCAAGGCATGGTGGTTGTTGCTCTGTCTATGTTGGAAGAATCTTGGTTCACCCAGAAGGAACGAGAACTCCAGTTAAATTAAAACCAGATCTCCTGAAGGTGCCAGTATGAGCACAAAACACAAAGGTGATTTGTCCCAAAGAAACAAAGGACAGGAAATAAAATACAAAAACAAGAACTAAAGGACAAGGGAGAAGGGGAAAGGAACAAGAAGGGGAGAGAGAGAGAGATTTGTCTCGGAGGGACAAAGAAGGGCCTCTGTTGGAGAGGAAATAGATGTGGCACATAGGCAAATGGTGGTTGAGAGAGGAAAAAGTGGAAACCCCATGTTAAAATGAGGAGTTTAATTTTAATTGAGCATCTTAATTAGGTGAACCAAAGGGGAATTTTGATTGCTGGACTTCAATACTTTGATAGCTGGACCTTGGTAGTCAGCCTCAGGAGGAGGAAGTGGCCAAATAAGGGAATAGACCTTGGGGGATAGCTTTGGGAATGTAATCTAATCATTTTTTAGAAAGCCACAGGGAATGAGCGAGAAGGGCAATGCCTGGCAGATCCATGTTTGCCTTGCTTGGGCTGGCTAGAGTCCCTTCATTCCAGCCTAGTTCCTCCAGATAAACACCAGAACCCAAAGGTTCAGAACAGTACCACCAGCTGAGAGCCCCCCCCCCCTATGAACCTCTGGGGGACATCCAAAGCGAAAGAAGGGAAGTGGGGCAAGGCAGGGTGGAAATAACATGAGGATGAGTTTCCTCTAAGATTAAAGTCTCTTGTCTTATAGACCAGTGTCTTAAGACATAAGATAGGAAAGGGGAGGTAAAACAACATGATGTTGTCTTTTGTTGTGGTGGTGGTTTTGGTTTTTGGTTTTTCAAGACAGGGTTTCTCTGTGTAGCCTTGGCTGTCCTGGAACTCATTCTGTAGACCAGGTTGACCTCAAACTCACAGAGATCCGCCTGCCTCTGCCTCCCAAGTGTTAGGATTGAAGGTGAACTCCACAACATGATATTTTAAGATTTTTACAGAGAAATAAAACACTCCATTTTGTAGGGAAGCTTGAAAGACAGGAAATAAAGAACACAAAAGAGCGTCAGAAAGTCCCTGAAACTGACCAGCTTCACTAGGCCCCTTCCACCCCAAGAGAACATAAACAGTGACGAGGGTTGAGAGAAGATTCTTAGACAAGCCAAGCTATAAAGGAAGTCTCAGAGAGAAACCAATTATCTGGGAAGAAGATACCAGCTGAGCCACCTGCAAAGGACAGTGTGTAACCTGTTGAGAGGACTGCAGGCTGTGCAGTGGGCTCCAGGTTTCCAGCATGAGAAGCTATCACCCATGCTAGGTGGACTTTGGCGACACAGATATTTTGGGGTCACTCTGAACCTGTAAATAACCCCTTATGCATACTCCTGTAAGTAACCCCAATAAAATTCACTGGTTCACCGAGTTGAACATTGGTGGTATCCATGCTTTGGTCTGTCATTGGTTCCTTATCTGGGGTGGGGAGACGTTTGCTTATATATCCCTAGGAATAGTGTCACGCAATAATAAGAAATAGTGGGAGTAGGGAAGAAAGAGAGAAGGATGAAAGGAGAGAAAGAGGGGAGGAAAATGGGTGGAGGGAATATAGACTAGAGAGAGAGGGAAAAGAAAGCTATCAAGAGCTGTTGGTGATCCGAAGGAACTGGAGTATTCATATGCTCATGGTACAAGTGTAGATTATTCTAAGGAGGTAGTTGTATATTGAATAGGCAATATCACAGAGAATCAAAAAGTTACAAATGGCTGAACTATCTCACATCAAGCCCAAAACAACTGGGCCAAAGGCAACCTCTCTTTTTAAGTTGCCAAGTATTAGTCACAGTTACAGAAAGCTTGCTGTTAACGCCAGCATTCTGGCCTCTAGCATTTCAGGTCATGCCAAGTTATCTTGTCTTTATTCTACTATGATAATAATAACTGGAATTTATGGAGACTGAGCCATACAGACATCTCAAGGTCTTGACACGCATTTTGTCTTGCAGCACGGGGGCCTCTAATATACTAGCTAAGCATGCTGTCATTTAAGTGTACCCTGAACCTTTTTCTTAACCTTAGTTAGTGTTTGTTTATTTGTTTATGGGTAGTTCTAAGACTTAAATCCAAGAACTCATATGTGATAGATAGGCAAGCACCCTGACACTGAACTTTACCTCCATCCTTTTTTTTACTTGAATTTGGAGACTGATTCTCACTAAGTTGCCAAAGCTAGCTCCGAACTGCAATCTCCCTGTCTCAGCTGTGCCGATGAGGCTGAGACAAGAAGGGCTGGCTTCCCTCACTTCAGGAAATCTTAAATAGCCCGTAAAACAGGAGACACTATCCATCCTCGGCAGACAAATTAACATGAGGCTAGAGGCGATGGGAGAGCTGTGCCTGCTGCTAACCCAGCCCCTGGTGTAAGGAAAGCTTGGCTCTGGATCCACCGAGACGGTCAGATGTTCTGTTACTCTGTCTCCTGGAAAACAGTAAGGCCAGAGCTCAAACCCCAGGAGACAGATGGCTGCTGCCGATTCATGACATTTAGGGAGTCATAAACTTGTCCTGAGTGTCACCTCTTCCGTCTAGGTAAGGGTTTCATCACCGAGCTGTCAAACGAGGTTAATTTGGCCAAGACAGCATCTTCTCTTCTCTGCAACACCTGATTTGATTGGAGGAGACCTTCCATTGGACCTTCAGCCCAGGATTAGGAAGGCAGAGACTCAAACAATGAATCCAGGTTAGACGAGTCCTCAGGCTTGGCACGCAGTTCTGCCTGCTATTCCTGAGGACAAAGAAGGAGCCTGTACTGCCTGCCATTAGCATGGAAGCAGAGCTGACTGCATAGGTGCAAATTCCAGGAAGAAACCTGCCTCCCACTTCAGAGAAGAGAAACAATGAGAGCCTTGTTCTTTCAGCCCCTGGCCTGGCTTGGATAAAGGCTTATGTGTCCTTCAGTTCCATGCCCCATCTCCATAATCCCCCAGCAGACTTCAGCCAAGAAACATGGGCTTCCTCTTTCTATTTCCTCTCCTAACCCGAGGGCCTGTTGGTGCACGCTCTGAAAGAACTGCACGCAGGGAGAGGAGATTTGCTTTTTCACCTACCCCTGGAATGCTATCGATCTTCCATGAGTTCACACGGAGCAGAGCCTCCTAGATCCTCCACTCTGTTTCTCCAGCTTTTATATTTGACCTTCCCAATGCTTCGACTGTCTCAGCAACACATGTTACAGATGCTGATTCCCCAAGTCCACAGGCCACCAGAGACATTCTCTCTTAATCGTTTCTCTTGAAATTGCCCTTGATTTCCGTGACCATGGAAATCCTTTTAGAAGGAAAACTAAGAGGCAAGGGAAGAAGAGGTATAGAAGGAGGAGGACATGAGTCTTAAAGTGGACAGTAAAATCCTGGGGGAAACTGACCAACCAATCTTGCGGCAGTGTCTGGACAATCCCAGCTTCTGGAATCCAATGGGAAAACAGACCTGGATTTCAGAATTGGTACCCAGTGCTGCCTGGCTCAAGAACCAAGAGGGACAAACTTTAGACAGGTTCAGTTTCATCAGGTGCTGCTTAGGTCACATCAAATGCCTCTGCAGCCTGGGTGCTGGGTTTCCAGGATGGCTGTGGTGGGATACAGAACCACTGGAAGACCCCAGATCGAGCTTAATATAAGAGCTGTGTGAAATAAATGCGGCCATTAGCCTTCCTTAAGAAAAGAAGCCTAGCAACCGGAATCCCCGCAGTTAGCAGCATTGGCACTCGGGGGCAATGGCTCCCACAAGCTGCTGAGAGCGACTCACCTTTATCTTCCCAAATCCCCTTTTAGTGACATCAAGCCTTTAGCTTGTATTGGGCTATCCTGAGACTATTGACTCCAGAGCAATCAGCAAAGGCTACAGATTAGACCGTTCTTCGTTTGTTTTTATGAGACCAAGCTTTTCTGTGGCATTGAGTGCCTCTTTTGAGGATGCCCCAGAGCCTTTCACAGACTGAGACATCTGTCAACCACTCTAAGATGTCACCATTTCCCCAAATGCCTTCTCTGAAATACCTCATGATTTCGTATTTGCGGCCTCCCTCCCACTTTTGGTCAGTCTCCCGTTCTCTTTACGGTGTGCAGCCAAGTGTACATTCCACTTGAACTATTACCTGCTTAATAGCTTTGCTTCAAATCATCAGGAATTTTTATAGGCATAAAGATGTTTCTGAAAGGAAAATTAATGGATATAAGTTATGGGTTAAAAAACATAGCTCCAAAAATCCAGAAGGATGTAAGTCTGGAGACAGGCTCCTCCTGGGATGGAGGACAAAGAATGGGGAGACAAAGTGCATTCTGGGTAGTGGGCGTCGACTTCAGGGGCTTAGGGCTTAGGGAAAGTTGGTGAGGGAAGAGTAAAGAGCTGAAGGGCTTCTGTCTGGAAGAAGCAGTCCAGCTGAGAATGTATCCAGAGGAAGAGGAATTAGGGGATGTTACATGGATCTGCCCTACTGTGCTGAGCATGAAACCGTAGATACCCCGTGAAGGGCTGCGGAGGGTGTGGAGAAGAAGTCCTCCCAGATGCCCCCGCACCACGCAGCCCCTCATCAGGTTCTCCTCCGGCAGTGCTGCGAAGCCTGCCCAGTTTTCTGAGTTCTAACTCAACCTCGTCTGGGCTGGTGCGCGTGCGTGGGGCCTTCAGGTCCTTCTTGTCCTCCTCGGCATCAGCCACTGATGCAATCTCCTCGTCGTCCTTCTCCTCACGCTTGATCTCACTGACTCCTGCCGTGGCGCCTGCCCTCCCGAGTCCACTGTAGGAGTCAGGCGGCCTCTGTGAGAGATCGGAGAGGGAGCTGGGCTGGCTGGGGAGGCTGGCGTGATTATGCAAAAGACTGGCACCGCTGTTGAGGCCATCCTCAGGGTGGCCTCCACTGACCAGGCCCGCGTGCCGCCCGCCCAGTGGCATGGGGCCCGCGAAGCTTGTGGTCAGCGCCCCATGGCCAGGCAGAAGTCCATGGAGATCACTAGCAGTGCCCACAGCGTGGCTGCGAAGAACATGGATGGCCTCATCTAAGCGGTCCTCCATCTTGCTCAGGCCATGGAGACCCCCGTCGTAGCTGGGAGATAAGGCACTGGGGGCTCCTGCCCGGGGCCGAGTTCTAACTCAAAAGACTTCCTTCTTTACTTTTTTTGTTTGTTTGTTTGTTTGTTTGTTTGTTTGTTTTTGATCCCAATCAAAAGCCCACACCCACACGTGCTTTCCCTGATACTCTGGCAAACAATTTTAACAAATGTTAGGGCAGGAAGGGCTGGACCTAAAGTTGAAAATGTAGAGCGCATCAGCTGAGTTAGGAACTCTGGGAGGTAATCCCTGTTCCAGCAGCATTAGGAAAAAGCTCCTGGCCTAGAGAACTGAATCTCTGGCCTGGGTGCAGACCCAGTATTCCAGCTGGGCTGAGTCAATCTGGAGGCCAAGAGCACGCCTGTGAAAGGGACTCACCCTAAGCCACGCTGAAGAGATAGACAGACTAACGTTTCCTTTGATGAGACCGTACATTTTCCTCCAAAATTCCCGTTCCCCAGCGCAGTCCCTATGCAGGTGCAGCCAGAGGTGTGGTGAGGTCTGCTCAGCTATACTTCCTGACAGGGTGCAACATTTTCCCTTTCTCTTTTCTTTTTTTCCCACGTTGGTCAGAATCTAAGTGTGCCTTTCCTCACTCTCTCTAAAGTCCCCTCCCTCCCTGCCATGGCGCGGTTTGTCATTTTTTTTTTATTTAGCTTCTCCTTCTCCTCCTCCTCCAGGAAGCCGCTGTGATTTATAGCGAGGCTGCCCTGGGATTGTTTTTTATTTAAACTCTTCATAAAACTCTAACACATTATCCTTGGACGTTTGTGTGAGTCCACTCTTAAATTCTTCCATTAATGATCCCCTCCCCCAATTATCATCTGGCAAGCACAAAGGAATTTCCCCCAAACTCTAGTGACATTGCCACTGTGCTCAGCGCCACTGTCTTCCATAAACTTGACTCAAGCCAGTAGTTTCCAGCAGCAGCAGCAGCAGCAGCAGCAGCAGCAGCAGCAGCAGCAGCAGCAGCAGTTGCCACACCTTGGAACTTGTTAGAAATGCAGCCGGGGTCTCACCCCAGCCCTGGCGAGTCAGAAGGCTGAGTGGGGACCTGCCATCTGGATTTTAATAAGCAGCCCTCTAGGGGATTCGGGATGCACTCAAGTGTGAAAACCATTTCCTTAAATGTACTAGGAGATGAGAATTTGCATGAGTGGTTCCTATCATTAGTAGTGATCAGCGCTTGATTTGAAGGCAGGGGTTAGCATCCTTCTGTCTTTTATTACAAACTTGAATGTAGGAGTCTTAAATCCTGTGGGTTTAGAATTTTTTTTTTAATTTTGGAGGGCTTGGGGGGGGGCTTGTTTGTTTTGTTTTGTTTTGTTTTTATTGTGCGGATGGTCCCTATGTCAGAGCCTACATGTGGAAGTCCGACAGCAAATTGCAGGACTCGGTTCTCACCTTCTACCGTGAGAATCTTCTAGAAGGAACTCAGCTCGTCAGGCTTGGTGCTGAGCACCATTTTCCACCCAGCTGTCACACACGTCTCTGGGTGAAGACTCAGAAGCCATTGAGCAGGTGCTTCTGGGAAACTGAGTCCTGGGCATGTGGACCCGAAGCCATATTAGAACTGTCTCTGCCGCTATTAAGGCCCCATCCAGACTTGAAAGAGCCCTGTCCCCACTGCAGAATAAACACGAGAGTTTGATTTGTTCCAGGAGGCACATACTACAGTGGTTTCTACTTTTAAAAATTGCCACAGCTGCAGCATGCTGTCGTTTGGCCACAGATAGATTCTTAATGATTTTTTTTTTCCTTGCTAAATAATTGTAAGGCCTGATACCTCCCCCCCCCCCCGCCCGCCCGCCCCTTGAACTTGCACTTGGAGGGTTTCGTGTTATAAGCTCTGTGAATATTTGTGTGGCGCAACCTGCTCAGAGATAATTACATTAGCAGCACTGGGGCCGGTGGGTATCACCAGCATAGTGTGATCGTGTGAAAGGGAACGTGCCTTTCACCCGGGGACTCTAACATGTGGTTACTGTCTCCATAATTAACCCATCGACCTTGAGAGAGGAAAGTAATTAGAAGCAAAGGCAATTAATTCCTTCTAAGTGATTTCACTGCCATCTCCACCGTCACCCCAGAAAGGGGATTCCAGAAGGGCTGGGAGGAAGCAAGAGCATAGGAACAGCCAGTGAGATCACATCAGGGGTGCTAATGAGGCCTAGGTGTCACTGAGAGCTAGACACTGCTGCAGCAAGCAAGGACACCCTCTGACTCCAGGCTTGTTCTCCCTCCCTTTCACTTCCCTGGAAGACCAGAAGCCCCAGTTACCGGTGTAGGCTCTAAACCCCAAAATCAATGCTGTTATTCACTAACTCTCGTCATTCCTAATAGCATCCCTGTAAAACTGCAGCAGCACCTTCCTCAGAGAGTGCTGGGAGGCAGAACCAGTAACTGTGAATGGGGAGGGGTTTACCCTTAGAATGCCAGACTCGTGTATGATCAAATCATGGTTCTGGTACTCACGATGTCAATGCAGACTTTTCTCAGACAGTCTCAGGATGCCCTGGAAGTCAGCATCCTCCCGCTTCCCGTTCATAAATGCTGAGATTACAAGTGCATCCCATCACACCTGGAACACAGTATCCTCTTTGGAATTTTCGGGTTCTTTCACTTAAATGAATATAGTATGTCTTTCTGAGAAGATAGAGAGAACCTCTGCTTTCTAATAGAAGGGATTCAAAGTCTATTATATGGCTTCAGGTCAAAATGAAGTTTTCTAAAAAACTGCAATTCCAAGCATTTTGAGGATTCCCTGAGTGCATCCCAACAGCCTCGTGATGGCTGTGTAAAGGTACCAGAGAACAATGCTCCTCAGTTACAGGAATGAGTGAAGAATCCAGAGTTAAGGATGGGCAGGGACGTGCATTCAGAAAAGTAAATGATATCGGTGAAGAATTTGGAAAAAAACCAAGATGGGTAGCCAGTTTGGGGAAATTTGCATAGTTCAGAAGGTTGGGACAGCAAATGTGTGGGCTTACAAGTTGGAGCGGGGAGGAGCAAGGAGACAGAGCCAAGGCTATGATACACTCACATATGGGAGTGCATACAATACCTTAGAGACTAAATACAAGCTAGAGTCAATGACAGAAATAACCAAAAATTTACCTCATTATCTAGTTTGACTTGGCTGCCTCTTAAGTGGAATCTCACTTGGATGGAATTCTTGGCTCTGGGATCATTGGATCTATTAGTCTGCCAGCTGTGATCCTCCGTTCACAAGCTCCACTCACCCCTGCTGTGGGTGAGTAGATGGTTGAGAAGGATGTGGATGTGATCTCCACAACAGCGAGAAGTCACTGCACAGCGTGGTCTCTGATTTGCTTTCTAAATCCTCTGTGTCAAGGATGGAGAGGCTGGAGGCAGAGCCAGGGATGAAGGTTAAGAGGCGTTTCCATCCTGCAGAGGAAAGCTAGTTCTTGCTTAGGGGACTAGAGAGGCGTGGTGCAAAGTGGTGCTGTCCTTGGTGGTGGTGGTGATGTTGGTGGTGCTGCTGCTGTTCCGGCGCTGTGGTGGTGGTGGTTGTGGTGATGGAGGCAGTGTTCGTGGTGGCTGGTCTGTTTTGGGTTTTTTTTTGTTTGTTTGTTTGTTTTTTGGCAGGATCTACTAGTGTAGCCCAGTATGACCTAACTTGCTATGTAGATGAGGATGGCCTGGAACTAGTGGCAATCCTCCTGATTCAGTGTGGCAGGTGCTAGGATTACAGATGGGAGCCACCAAGTTTGACTGCATAGCCGTTCTAAAGCAGGTCACATTGCAGTAGGCACAGAACACAGGGACGGAGAGAATAAACGCAGTTGGCCTCTAACACCAGGATTGTTTCTAGAAGGGCTGTGCCTTGAGTGGAATGTACAGTCCCTGATTCCTCCAGTAAAGACAGCAAATCCTTAACAACTTCCTGCAGATGTGTTAAAGTCAAATGAGTTGTCCTAGTATATGGTGAGTACCGACCTCAGTGAGCAAAGGAGGAGGAGTGGGGCCATGGGTAAACTGTACATGGAAGGTAACCGCAGGTCTCTTATGCCTTGTATGGAACTCAGTAGGAGAAACTGAGGACAGCTGAATGGTTCCTGAAATGTTGGCTGCCTTTCATTGTAGCCTCTGAGCATAAGTAGTGTCTTTTTGACTCTTGTAGTTTACTATGGGGTCATGAATTATGCGGTGGTTAGAACTGCAACTGCCAGTGGCCAAAATCTAGGATGTCTCCAGATTCAGGAAGTACTGAGCAAGCACCAACCATACCGACTCCATAACTGAGTACCTGGTAAACACTGGATAGAATTCACTAGGTGTGTGTGTGTGTGTGTGTGTGTGTGTGTGTGTGTGTGTGTTGGGTGGGTGTAGGCAGAGACTGCTCGTTTGTTTCCCAGCTGCCAGGATGTGAATAATCACACCAAAACTATATTAATTGCGACACTGTTTTGTCAATAGCTTAGGAATATTTCTAGCTAACTCTTATCTCTTAAATTAACCCATTTCTATTGATCTCTGAATCACCATGAGGCTGTGGCCTACCAGTAAGGTTCTGACTGGTGACTGGCGGCTGTCTCTTTTGGCAGCTACTTGGCATGTCTCCGACTGGACTCTGCCTGCTCTTTCTCTATATCTCTTCCAGACTGGCTATATTTAGTTCTGCTACAAAGCAGCTTCTTTATTAACCAATGGTAATAAAACATGATGCATAGGATACAGAGGGGAATCCCACATCAGGAGGGAGGTCATTTCTCTGCAATATCCATGGCAGCAGAACACTGGAGAGAAGGTGACGTTGTGAAATTAATGCTTCTGAACTGGGAGTGAGGATGGGCTCCCCATCTTTCTCCTTGTGATATGAAATCAAGGAAGCCTGACGTCGGCAGAGACAGCCCAGGAGCTCCAGTTCCAGCCCTGTATCAGAAAGCTGGAAGAAAATGCCCTCATTCTCGGAAGCAGGGAGATTTTCCTGTTTGTTCTCTCTCTCTGTAGTTTCCCATCATCCTTTCTCAAGACCATCCTACAAGGCCTATAAGGGCAGAATTAAGGGACTCG